GGACAGGTAATCTGATTGACTACACACACCTATGTAATGGATTAAAAATGTAATTGTTGTAAAATCTAATTACTATATGGAAATGTTTATGCCAGAAATGTCGCACTATGTCCAATGTTTTTAATGTTTATCTAATAAAAAACTTTAAAAAAAAGAATACTGAAACTGCATTAGATTGCAAGATGAAGTTGCTGGAATCATGAGATTTAAAGAATTTTCTTTTTACAAAATCACCACTTTGGGGGTCCTACCGCTGCTAATTAAGACTGTCACAGATGACATACAATTTTAATGTACCTGATATGAATAGGTAGTGGGGAGTAGCTGATCCTTCAAAAAAACAAATCAGTCATATGCCCATAGTGAGTTACCAGACCTCTAGGAGCCAATAAAGGAAAAGAAGGATGTTCTATTGAGTGGGTTTTTTGGGGGGTGATTAACTGGAATCCTGTATGAGGGGGTGGCCTCATGCAAACCTGGACGTTGAGTTGTTTAGCTGTAGTTGGAATAGCATTAAGATTGTATATTATCTTTTTTAAAAACTGTATTTGGTGTATTTGTCTCCTTTGGCACCTTCAATAAAGTTGATTTGGGTTAAATCCTTGAGTTCACTGGTGGCCTTTCAGCACCTGCCTCAGCTATTGATCCCCTAAGGTTTTACTTGGTTTCCCTTTGTTGAACCCAAAATGGGTCCTAGTCTGGCTCGAAAGCCAATAAAAACCACCAGACACAAGGAATGGCATTTTCAGCTTCTTTTATTGGAGTACTCCAGTAAAAGGAGCCAAGACCCAGAGTGGCGTTTTCTAATTACGTTTATACAGTTCAAAGCAAGGAAACAAGGAAATAGCATGGTTGCAAAAAAATCTCATTGGTTAAACATACACTATTTGCCTTATATGGAACATCAAGTGGCACAGACCACCTGAGGCACCTCAACTTGACCAGATCATCACAATCATACCATCCCTTTAAATATTTATTTATTAATTCCCTTCGGCTCCACCAGGCATGTAACATACAAACATACACACACACAGAGTTTCCTGGGATGTCTCCACTCTCCACAGGATGGCCCCCTCCTAATTCCAGGGCTAATGCATCACCTTCCTGCAATCTAGCCAGACCCAGAGTAGGTGGAGGATTTCAGTCTTCTCCTGGTTCCCCAGAAGGCTGGTGAGGAAGGGAGAAAATGGCTTATAACAAAGGGGCTGAAGGTGGGTCTACCAGCAAGGGGGCTTTTCCAGTTACTGTTTCTCCTCAGGTGTGGATTACCTCAGAATTCATGAGCTGGTTCAACCCCGAGGGCACCTTTTCCCTCATTACCATGTAACATTAAATTATATGGGGAATTACGGTACACAGTTTGCAGCCCTATTTCTGGGTGGAAAAAAATAGTTAATTTGGTTGTGACTGATTATTGCATTTGGTTGTATAGTCAGTTAGATGTTTAAGCTGAATTTGGCATTTATATTCACCTTTCGAGTCCCTCCTAAGGAGCTGGGATAAGCAGATGTTGTTTAATAGCATTAAAGGTATCATTGCCGGGTGTAAACTGTTCCAAGTAAA